GGAGGGTGGGGGAGGGAAAGAGGGGTGTGGGAGCCCAAAGGAGGGGCCTGACCCAGTTGTGGGAGGAGCTTGCCTAGAGAAAGAGTCTGAGCTTGCCCTGGGAATTGGAAGGGACAAGTGTTCAACATAAAATGTATGACTCCCAGGCCAGGCGTGATGGCTCACAGCTGTAATTCCAGCACTTTGGAAGGCCAAGTGAAAGGATTGCCTGAGCCTGCAAGTTCAAGACCAGCTTGAACTTGGCGAGACCTCATCTCTGCAATAAATAAAAAAATAGAATAAAAAAATGTATGACTCCCACCGTGGATTTCACCCTACCTCATTTCTCTGGCCTCCCATAGTTTTCCATTTCAGTAGTCACAAGTTCCCCAGTCAGTCACGGAGCCACCTGCTTGGGGCCACACCTGGACTCCAGGGGCCATATGTGCCTCTGCCTCTTCCCACTGGCCACACTGTCCCTTGTACTGGGCATCCCAGCAACCTTCTGCATCTGCTGACATCAGTCTTTCCCCTTGTGCCGGCGGGAGTGCTCAATCCTGCCCTTATCCCTACCACCTGAGAACTTAGCATCACGCAGCAAGTGTCGGCTGGGCACCAGGCCCTCTGCTGGGCACTAGAACCAAGCTGTCCTGGCACTGACTGAGTACCAGGAAAGATAGCAAGCAAATTACAACAAAAGCCGTGAATGAATTATACTAGGGGACAACCTGCAGAGACCAGCGAGATGTGAGGGTGGATATGGTACAGGGACAGAGAAGGTGTCTAATCCAGCCTAGGAGCAGGGATAATGTCCCCGAGGAGGGTTTAGGTCTGCCAAAGATGAGGGGCATGGGGAGGAGGGACAGGTGAACAAGAGGAGGTTCCAAGAAGGCTGGTGAGATAGTATTGATCTGGGATGCAGTTATGGGTGTTTGTGTTGTAGCTATTTATTAAATTGTATATATATGTGTTTTGTACACTTTGCTGTATATGGGCTATTTTTCCATTAAAAAATAATAAATATTGATTAATAATAATTTCTTTAAAAAGCAGAAGGGAAAGAGAGGATGAAGAGAACTCTGCCTATAAGCAGGAGCAGCACAAACAAAGGCCTTGCG